GTGATATGTTTACAATAAGACTTCTGCTCCTGAACCTCTGCACACAGCGTCTGCAGGTCGGGGCTGTACGAAGTCACGTTATCTTTACGCAGGACTGTGAGCTGTCGTCTGTGAGGCGTGAGCGTGTTTGTTTTAACATAGTTCACGGTGGAGAACAGCTGCTGACATTATGTGGATCCAAAGATCCATAACTGACCTACCTGGGGTTGAAAGTCTCGATAAATGCACGGTGTTTCCGCGGGTACACCGGCTTCTGCGAGTGTGACGCTTTGATTTTTATTTCAGTATCACAATAATCTTCCAATTTAGAACTACAAGTTAAAAAGAACTAACATAAATAAAATACACTTCAGCTCAATACGTCTCATTTATTTTCCCAAACCGCACAGAGCCGCAGTATAAGCACTAAAGAGCCGCAGGTCGCCGACCCCTGAAACAGGCCTGCACCCAGGGACAGAGTACGGGTGCACGTCATGCTCTCCTCAGACCCAAATCTGCCACTGTCAGCCTCCCTGTGCTTTACTGCACATGTGATACATGAATTATACTCAGTGTTTCATTTATTTATTTATTTATTTCACACTTGGTACAAAAAATCAAACCAACCACACTTTCTATCAAAAAGCAACCATGTGTGAAAAGGAGCAGGAAGAAGAAAATATTCTTATTAAACCCCGCCCCCTATCTACAATCCAATTTATATTACAAGTGGGCAGCAAAAATCAAGGAACAAACCAACATTAACATTTATCTGCAGTCCTAACTCAGACCAAACAACACATTTACAATCAGGATATACTGCTCCACATAGTAACAAGGAGAAAAATTAAAATAAAATAAATAAAACAAAAATTCTAATGGATCCTTTTTCAATGAACTCCAATTTCATTCACATTCTTCATATTGAGTTATCGTTTTAAGCATGTAACACTTTTTAAAACAATGTAAATTTATACAATTCTTTAAATTATAATGAAGTGAGTCCACAGTCGTTTACTTCTAACCGCTGGACTCATTAATCTTTGTGTAGTCACAGCTAACTGATGCTTAAAATAACATTTCACACAATACACAATAAAACACAATAAATAAAATACACAATAAAAATACTCTTTGTAACTTAAAGGGCAAAATATTATTTTTAGCCTTAAACATAATTAATAGTGTCTGTAATTTCACTAAATCTAATTTTAATAATTTTGATTTTATAAATAATTTATTTGTATGTTCTCTATATTTAACGTTATGAATCATTCGTGTCACATGCTGCACTGTGTTCACTGTTTTTTCCTCCATCAAAGCTCTTTCCTCGAGCAGTTGTATGAATGCAAACAAATCCATTTCTGGCCTTCAGTGTTTGATCTCCCTCTGAAGAGAAAACGTGCGACGCCGACTTTGCTCTGAAGCAAAAATTCAACCATTTGTGTCAAATAAGCAGCGTAATTATTTACTTATTTATTTTATTTTCCCTGCCTGCACGGCCGTGTCAGCACCCAAAACGAAGCAATCGAGTGCGGGTTTATATTGGTGTCAAAATGGCAGCGAGATAAGGCGCAGCTTCTCATTTTCACTCATGCAAAATTCCTCGTGCGTTCATTCAGCAGCCAAACGCACAAAGAAGCCCTCACACACGCGACGCCAGGCGCTGCGACACACTCGCGCTCTCGCAGGCCGCTCTGCTCGCTCACCTCAGTCTGACTTTTGGCCGTTTGGAGGGCGGAGCCCCACAGCTTTGATTGACAGGTTCAGTTTTACACTCGTATTAAACTCAGCTTCACGGCACAGCTGCTGTTTTAGATCGTACATGTTTACAGTTTTGAAAATGAAGTTTGCAGAATGAAGCATCGGCAGGTTTTTGCAGGTAGCAGCAAACAACCATCACAAGATTACTTCTGTTCTTAGAAGAGTAGAAAAAAAGACACTTTCTGGCCTCAAAGTTCAAACAGTTTTATGGATTTTAGCCTCCACGAGCGTTTAATTGTGTTCGACTCTGGTATTTTAACGATTTCCCACAATCCAAGCCGAGCTGCAGAGACTCCC